TTAAAAGTTTAAAATAACTCTCATGCGCACAGATTTTTATTCAATTAAAAAAAAAGTTTGTAAATATCCAAGTTTTTTTTTTTTATTATTATTATTATTATTTTTTTTAAATTCACCTCCTCAAGGCCGAGAAGGCCACTACAAACGAGGAGGCTACTTATTTGTGGTTATAACCCTCTCTCAACTCTATAACTCCGAAACAGGAACCTTGACGAACAAGGCTGCTGCGCGGAGAAACAAGTTGAAAGTAACAAGAAAACCGTTGCAATGATTTTGCATTGGCAAGAAAAAGCTACAAAAAAAAAAAAAAAAAGAATAAAATAAAAGAAAAATTTGAATAAGTAAAAAAAAAATACAGTTGGAAAAGAAAATGACAAAAATTTTAAGTCATAATTTTATATCTCTGACTTTAATGAGCAGAGATATAAATTTTTTTTTTTTTATATCTGCTCATTAAAATTATTTTAAAGACTGTTTATGTTGATGTAATATATATATATATATATATATATATATATATATATATATATATATATATTTATATATATATATATATATATATATATATATATATATATATATATATACTGGCGGAGGAAAAGGTAGGAGAGCAGAAGGGACAATTTAGGCCCCATCAACTAAAATACTAAGGAGGAAGGGGGGTGGCAGACACTGCATTTATCCCCCCACACTTCCTAAACAGTTTTTAAAAAACTTTTATAATAGCAACAGCGGAATTATCATTTTCCAGTCTGAAATGACTCAATCACAATTAAACATCACCTTAGGAAAATATATCCATAAAACTGTTTAAGATACGATCACATACTAACTATTTTTTAAATGAATGTGTGCTGGCAAAAGATGACTAATCATATTAAAAAGATGATTAATCACATTGCGTGTGATAAATAATTAAATAAATAGATTATATTTTGATCTATAGATCAAAAAATAATCTATTTATTCATAATAAATAGATCTATTTTGCTGTATCATACAAAATTGAGGAGCTATTTCCATTTTAATATATGTTTTCAGCCCCTAACTTTTGCGAACTTCCTATGCCACTGTATATATATATATATATATATATATATATATATATATATATATATATATATATATATATATATATATATATATATATATATATATTTTTTTTTTTTTTTTTTTTTTAACATCTTCACTTCCAACAAGGCTGCAAGCAACCACTATAAGAGTTGGAAGTTACTGGAAGAGAAAAGACTAAATCTGTAGAGCAAGATAACGATTGACTGATGACTTAAAAGATTGCAAATTATATGAATCAGGAAAGCAAGATGAAGGAAACGAATTCCAAAGAACTGATGTTCGAGGAAAAAAACTAGAAGAATAAGAGTTTTTGAAGCACTTAGGAACAGTCACAGAAAAAGGATGAGACTTAATTGAATGGCGAGTAACACGAGAATGAATTTTAGCAGATGGCACAAGGGACGCTAGCTCTTTAGAGCAGTGCCCATTATAGTATTTGTAGAAAAGAGAAAGAGAAGAAACATTACGACGATGTGACAAAGTTTGGAGATTGGCTGCCAGAGCAGGTCCAACTATGTTTACAATTCGTTTTTGCACCTTGTCTAAAAGAGAAAGAGCATCATTAGAAGATCTGCCCCAGATGTGGCAACAGTATTCCATACAGGGACGGATTTGAGATTTATAGAGATAGAGAATAGAATCTGGAGTAAGAAAGTGTCGAGCTCGATAAAGAGATGCAACCTTAGCAGATGCTAATTTTGCAATGGATTTGATATACGGTTTAAAAGAAAGGTCAGAAGTAAGAGTTAATCCTAGAAGATGAATGGTAGATGACTCTTCTAGTACATTACCATTCATAAATTTAGGAAGATCTAAATTATTACAATAACGATTGGCCGAATAAAATTGAGTTTTATCTGAATTAAAGTTCACCAGCCACTGTGAGCCCCATGCTGTAGCAGAAGTGAGATCCTTTTCAAGCTCAGATACCCCCTCCAAGCAATCAGAGAGTGTAGGCTTCTTATCATGACAAGAGTAAATGGTAGTGTCGTCAGCGAATAATGCCACCTTAGATGTGAGAATATCTGGAAGATCGTTAATGTAAATTAAAAAGGGTATAGGGCCAAGGATTGAAAAAGGGTATAGGGCCAAGGATTGAAGTTACAGGGGTTCCTCAAGGAACCCCTGTAACTTCAGGGGTTCCTTGAGGAACCCCTGAAGTTACAGGATGTGAAGAAGAGTGTTGTCCATCGAGGACAACTTTTATACTACGATTGGAAAGAAAGGACTCAATAATCTTAAAGACGTTACCAGCTACACCATAAGAAGAAAGCTTATGGAGAAGACCAGCATGCCAAACTTTATCAAAAGCTTTAGAAATGTCAAGTGCGATAGCCTTAACCTCTCCACCTCTATCTAATGCACGGTAAAAACCTATCGGTTATTACTGTTAGCACATCAGCTGTAGAACGAGAAGACCGAAATCCATATTGATGATCAGAAAGTAAGTTATTTGATTCAAGATGAGAGATTAAGTGTTTGTTGATTAAAGATTCAAAAACCTTGCTTATGACAGGAAGAAGACTAATGGGACGGTAGTTAGATGAATCAGATCGCTCTCCGGAATTTTTGAAAATAGGGATTTCAGATGCTGCTTTCCAGCATGATGGAAAACAAGACTCTGATAAGCACTTGTTAAATAGTTTAGAAAGTATGGATGAAAGCTCCGGAGAACACCTCTGCAAGACTACAACAGGAATGTTGTCAGGACCACAAGCTGTTGAAGAGTCTAAGCAGGAAATTACTTTAGATACAGAAGCTGAAGTGATGCGAATGTCAAGCAAGGGATCAACCTGTTTGACGGCTATGTCAGGTAAAACGCAACTAGTGGAATCAAGAGATGATATTGATGAAAAGTTCTTAGCAAACAATTCAGCTTTGTCTTGAGGTGAGGTGACAAAGTCTGAACCATACAAGAGAGAAGGAATAACAGATTTGCCCTTATTATTGATACTGTTAAAGATTCTCCAGAAGTCTCGAGAGCCTAATTTTTGTGATGAGATACGAGATTTAATGACCTGGGAATAGCGAGCTTTGGCGTCAGACAAAACCTTTTTACAATGGTTTCTGGCGATAGTGAACAGATGTCTGTTTTCTGGAGAATTGTTTTGCTGATAGATATGGAAGTAACGGTTTCGATTAGAAATTGCTGCAGCGCAATGTGAGGAAAACCAAGGAGAAGAGTGAGGCTTGACCTGGAATCGTCGAGAGGGAATAAAAGATTCCATGCCAGCCTGAATCCACGAAGTTATGTAAGAAGCACATTTGTCAGCAGGAAGACGAAAGAATTCTACCCAAGGGCCATCACGAAGAAAATCACGGAAAGAGTCCCAGTCAGCTTTAAGGTAGTTGTATGTGGTACGATGATAGGGGGATTCTGATGAAGTAGAAGAATTTGATAATAGTTTTAGAGAGATCAAACCGTGATCAGATGTACCTAAGGGTGAATGTGGAGAAATTGAGCACTGACTAGGATCCAAAACAAGACATAAGTCGAGTAGAGAAGGTAAATGATTAGGGTTGTCTGGAAAACGAGTTGGAAAGTTGACTATTTGAGTTAGAGATTGAGAAAGGCAAAAGTTGAGGGTCTTAACGCCAGCAGAGTCACTGACACTAGAGCCAAGTCAATTGGTGTGATGGGCATTAAAGTCACCAACAACGACGATATTGGCCGATGGTTAAAGAGAGAGGGCTTGGTCAATTTGATCAGAAATAACATCAAGAATGGTGCAATCTTGGGATGAAGGAGAG